GATTCAATTTGCAATTTGATCAAATGTTTTCACTTGTGATCTGTTTTTCTTTGCAACACATGTTCGAATTTGATGTAAATAAACAATCTGTTGTATATACCACTTGGGACTCAAGTTTCAAGGACATGCTCACGACAACCCCTCCACTTTAACATGACGAGCACAACGAGAACTTTCAAAAATTTAACAGGGACTGTGTCATTTTTAATGACTTGTTTACTTCACCTTGCATGTCACTTCACCCACCCAGCAGCAGTTTTTTTTTGACTACCGTCAATGGTAAACTCAATTTGGTCTTTTTGGCTAGCATGTGTCTTACTATAGACTTGTTTTGAAATCTTTGTATAAGTAGATCAAAGCTAAGTGACTATGTAACTTTCTGGGTTTCAGAGTGATTACGACCTAATAGATTATTTAAATGAACTGCGAGAAGGATGCTTAGAAGCATATACTGGTATAGTGCAAGGGTTGAAAGGCGATTCAGATCCCATTAATCGTAAGTATTAAGTTGATGTTGTCATAGAAACATGAATCACAGTATATCATAGATCTCCAGCTAACAATGCCATATGTACATGGGGCCTAAGATTGTTTGCATGTTCATGTTAAATAAGAGCATAATAACTATCACCTTTTTTCGATACGTAGTTGTTGAAATACACAGTACAAACATTTTTTTGGCAAAAAACTGTCAAAAAACCTGCAAAATGGGCATTTTTGAAACTATACCATAGAAATTCATGGGGAAAAATTAATGGTAGTCGAATTTCCCAATAATTCAGGACAACTGTAAGCATTCGCCTTCTATCTACATCCCTATGTACATGAACGAACTGTTGATGAAACAAGACTAAAAAATCAATATTTTGCAGGCATCGCTGTCTGCAATCAAAACAGATTCTTGAATATTTAACCTAAGTGGTTGAGAACTAACTGCAAATGCATTAATTATTCACTGGGGTTTACTTTCGTTATTTTTGCTAATACGTAAATTTGTTAAATTTAATCCATGTAAACGCGTTTCTGTGCCAAGCTTGTGAACTTAAAGCGGGGGAGTTGTCACCTGTGCATTGCGCCAGATGGCGAGTCATTGTTTACAAATAAGCATCTACCGATGAGCCTTTGCATTTTTAGTGTGTGTTATCGTCACTTGGGACTCGTTTCCCTCCCGCGCGTGCGCAGGTGGCGACCCTCCCCCTTTAAAACCCAGTAAAGTTGTTCAAAGCATTAAAATAGTGAAATTAAATTCCAGTATCTACAAATGTGTCTGAATTGTTTGTTGTAGCTGATGTACAGCTGATCCAACCCCATGTAATGCATATGATTAGCTTTATTGAACATATTGCTCAAGACGAGGACCATTCTGATAGTAATACATCAGCTGCTGCTGGTCTCATTGGGTAAGATTTTCACATTGTTTTTTTATGCATACACTGTCTATTGTGGTACAACGTGAAACCTTGCCATTACCGTTTACTATGTAAATGTATTATTGTTCTTTAAGTAAAATTCGCTAATTTAAAACCATGTCAAAATAACA